CAGCTGAGGCATGGTAGCCCTCAGATTTAACCACCATCAACATCTCTCTCTAAGGAGAGAGAAGCCCTATGGTCCAGAAGAGATTGGCAACTTTATCCTTTCTAAATATTTATCGCACAAAGCATTAATAATTACTATTTAAAGTAACACTGTAATAACTACTTATAACATATCAAGCTAGATATTCACATCATTTGCTTTCAGATAGTTTCTGTGATATTTTCTACAATAAATAACATTACTACATCACTGACAGATAAAGTTCTTCCATGCCAGCAACACCTACATCCCACAAACATGTATAAAATCCTCAAGGACATTGAAGCCATCCATGCTCATGTGCAAAATAGCTTGGACAATACCCACGTTTGGGCTGTCAGGTGGCAACTTACATCCGCACAAGTGCCAGGCAATTGTAATATCAAAACAATGAAAGCAGAAATAGAAATAAGTCATTCGGCAATTCGCACCTGCTCCTCGGTTCAAAATGAACATTACCGTGTTCTTACTTTTGTGTATATCCTTTGACCCCTTTAGCCCTGAGAATTTTACCAAACTCCTTCTTGAAAACATTCAATGTTTTGGCCTCATCAACCATCTCCAACAGAGAGAATCTAAACACTGATCTGTGACATTCAATGCATTACCGTCACTGTCAACATTCTGGAAGTTACCTTTCACAATGAACTGCACTAATCATGTATGTACAATGGCTACAACAACAGGTCTGAGGCTAGGAAGCCCTGTAGCAAGTAACTCACCTTCTGACTCTGCAAAGCCTGTTCATCATCTACAAGGCTAAAGTCAGGAGTGTGATGGAATAAATACTCCCTACTTGTAAGATTGTATAAAAACTCGAAAAACTCTCAAGAAGCTTGATACATCCAGGACAAAGCAGCCCATTTGATAGACACCACATCCACAAATATTCACTCCCTCTACCATCGATGCTTAGTAGCAGCAGTATGCACGATCTGCAAACTGAACCGCAGAAACTCTCCAGGGCACCTTATACAATATCTGCCAAAGCCAATACCACTACCATGTAGACAAGCTAGGGAAGCAGATACATGGGAACACCGCCACGTGCAAGTTCCCCTCCAAGCCACTCACATCCTCACTTGGAAATATATTCCTGCTCCTTTAACGTTACTGGGTCAAACTCCTTCGGAGTGGAACATCCATCGTAATAACTTTGTGGGTTAACCTACACCAAATAGACTGCAGTGATACAAGAAGGCAGCTCACTTGCACCTTCTCAAGGGCATCTGTGGATAGACAATAAATGCTGCCATGATCCCAGATACCAGCAAAAAAAAGCCAGAAATCAGCTTAGCAATAGTTGGGATAACATTACCGAAGTTTGTATATTATAGATCAACGTAGATAAGCAATACATCATATAAATATTAAAACACAGTGTGGAGCTGGAGGAACACAGCAGGCCAGGCAGCATCAAAGGAGCAGGAAAGCTGATGTTTCGGGTTGGGACACTTCTTCAGAAATGGGGGAGGGGAAAGGGAGCTCTGAAATAAATAGAGAGAGGAGGTGTGGGCTGGGGAAGGTAGGTGGGATAGTGGTAGGTGAGTGCAAATTGGCACTGGTGGGGACTGGTCAGTGAGGTGGGAGAGAAGACAGGCAGGTTGTGTCAGGTCAAGGAGGCAGGGATGAGAGGGAGGGTTGGTCGTGGGATGAGGCTGGGGGTAGGGACATTTTGAAACTAGTAAAGTCCACATTGAGACCATTGGGTTGTGGGCTCCCAAGGTGGAATATGAGGTGCTGCTCCTCCAGTTTCCAGGTGACCTCATTGTGACACTGGAGGCGGCCCAGGATGGACATGTTGTCCAGGGAGTGGAAGGGGGAGCTGAAGTGGTTCGCACTGGAAAGTTGTTGTTTGTCACGAAAAGATCATAGGTCCTCTACAAAGCGGTCTCTGAGCCTCCACTTGGTCTCACCAATGTAGAGGAGGCCACATCGTGAACAGTGGATGCAGTTGACCACATTAGCGGATGTGCAGGTGAACCTCTGTCTGATGTGGAAGGTTTCTTTTGGTTCCTTGGATGGAGGTGAGGGGTGAGGCGTAGGGGCAGGTGTAGCACTTACTGCGGTTGCAGGGAAAGGTGACGGGGGTGGTGGGACTAGTGGGGAGTGTGGAGCGGACAAGGGAGTCGCAGAGAGAGCGGTCCCTATGGAAGGCAGATAAGGGTGGGGAGGGAAATATATCCTTGGTTGTGGGGTCGGATTGCATGTGGCGGAAGTGGCAGAGAATGATACGTTGAATCCGGAGGTTAGTGGGGTGATACATAATGACAAGGGGGATTCTGTTTTTGTTTTTGTTTTTGTTGTGGGGAGGGGATGTGAGGACAGAGATGCAGGAAATGCAAGGAATGCAAGAGATGTGGTCAAGAGCATTTTCGACCACTGAAGGGGGGGGGGGATGTTGCGGTCCCTGAAATACGAGGACATCTGGGGTGTTCGGAAGTGGAACGCCCCATCTTGGGAGCAGATACAACGGAGGCAGAGGAATTGGGAGTAGGAGATCACATTCTTACAGGAAGGTGGGTGAGAGGAGGTGTAGTCTAGGTAGCTGTGGGAGTTGGTTGGCTTGAAATAGATATCGGTTTTGAGGCGGTCACCAGAGATGGAGACAGAGAGGTCCAGGAAGGAGACAGAGAGGTATCAGAGATGGTCCAGGTGAACTTGAGGTTGGGGTGAAAGGTGTCAGTAAAGTTGATGAACTGTTCAAGCTCCTCGTGGGAGCACGAGGCAGTGGCGATACAGTCATCGATGTAGTGGAGGAAGAGATGGGGGATGGGGCCAGTGTAGCTACGGAAGACGGACTGTTCCACGTATCCTACAAAGAGGCAGGCATAGCTTGGGCCCATGTGGGTTCCCATGGCCACCCCCTTAGTCTGTAGGAAATGGGAGGATTTGAATGAGAAGTTGTTAAGGGTAAGGATGAGTTCGGTTAAGTGGATGAGGGTATTGCTGGAGGGGGACTGGTTGGGCCTGCGGGAGAGGAAGCAGCAGAGGACTTTTAGGCTATCTGCGTGGGGAATGCAAATGTACAGGAATTGGATGTCCATAGTGAAGATGAGGTGCTGGGGGCCAGGGAATTGGAAGTCTTGGAGGAGGTGGAGGGTGTGGGTGGTGTCCTGGACGTGGGTGGGGACTTCCTGGACCGGGGGGAGAAAACATATCATTCTCCGCCACTTCCGCCACTTGCAATCTGACCCGACAACCATGGATATATTTCCCTCCCCACCCCTATCTGCCTTCTGTAGGGACCGCGCTCTCTGCGACTCCCTCGTCCGCTCCAAACTCCCCACTAGCCCCACCACCCCGGCACCTTTCCCTGTAACCACAGGAAGTGCTACACCTCCCCCCTCACCTCCATCCAAGGAACCAAAAAAACCTTCCACATCAGACAGAGGTTCACTTGCAAATCCTAATGTGGTCTACTGCATCCGCTGCTCTCGATGTGGCCTCCTCTACATCGGTGAAACCAAGCGGAGGCTCGGAAACTCCCCAGAGCCTGTCAACTATCTGCAAGGCACAAGTCAGGAATGTGATTGGAATGCTCCCCACTTGCCTGAATGAGTGCAGTCTCAACAACACTCATGAAGCTTGACACCATCCAGGATAAAGCAGCCTGCTTGATTGGCACTACATCCACAAGTATCCACTCCCTCCACCACCGACGTTCAGTAGCAACAGTGCGTACTATCTACAAGATGCACTGCAGAAATTCACCAAAGATCCTTAGACAGCACCTTCCAAACTGATGACCACTTCCAACTAGAATGACTAGGGCAGCAGATATATGACAACAACATTACCTTCAAGTTCCCCTCTAAGCCACTCACCAATCTGACTTGGAAATATATCAGCGTTCCTTCACTGTTGCTGGGTCAAAATCATGGAATTCCCTCCTTAATGGCATTGTGGGTCCACCCACAGCAGGTGGACAGCAGCGGTTCAAGGCATTAGCTCACCACCACCTTCTCAAGGGCAACTAGGTATGGGCAATAAATACTGGGCAGCCAACAATGCCCACATCCCAAAAAAATAAAAAATAACAGCTTGAATTTAGTGCACCACACTCCGTAAAACTCTCATCCTCCTGACTCTATACACATGAGGAGTAAGTAATCATGCAAAACCCAATAAAATCTTAATTAATAAATCTATCACAAGTTCCCTCATTCCATTAGGTCTCAGGCACTCCTTCAGACTATATCAGATGTTACCACTCTGTCACCTCCCAATGACAGAAAGTAGCACTTTAAAGTGAGAGGACTGACAGATGGCTACCTCAGGCCAGGACAAGATTGGGGAAAAGAAACAAAAGCAGAGAATTGTGTTCCCTATAAGTTGCAATTACACTAAACGACACAGATTTCTCATCCCTGTCCCCCGTTACCTGCTCGACAAAAGTTGTATTTGTAAGGAGAGAATGCTTGTTTTGAGTTGAACTGAGCACTGAGTGGGGAAGTTTAGTTTGTATCTTCATTCGCAAGCAACTTATCATCCGGTCAAAATTGAACGGTCAGACATTGCTGTCCTATGACTCACTGACATATAATGTTCTACTGCAAAAGCAAACAGTCTATGAACATTGCGATTTACATTGGGTCACATAGACCACATCAGTGGCCTCAAAAGCAGGAAAGTTCACTTGCTCTAATATTATCCTTGATATTCTGCATTTTTCCTCTTTCATACAGGTTCTTAAATCTGTGAAGTCCAACAGATTAACCATAATAATGCAAGCTTACAACCATTTACTTTAATAGGCAGATAATTGGGGGCTACTGCACACAGAAGCAGGATACACTGACCAAATGTTTACTTACTAAAATTCAGTGCAATGTGTTGTTGTTGCACTGTATCAAAGTACTTTTATTCCTTTATTAGTGCATATACTGACACTGGAAAAGAAAACAAATACAAAACCTACTGCATACATCAAATGATCTATGCTCAGCAGACATACTTACACTAGCACAGGTTTCCCCGATATCTTAGGATGCCTTATGACCTCTGCCACAATTTCTTTGGCTTCTTCTATTCGATCAACATCACTGGAATCCACAACAAAAATAACGCCAAAGGACTCAGAGTAATAGTTCTTCCAGATAGCGCGGATTCTTTTCCCTCCTCCCAAATCAAAGATGGTGATTTCAAACTTGTCCTGTTTTAGATCAATTCTTGAAAAACCCACTGTGGGAGCTAAATCTTCTAGAGACTCTACAAAAGAAAAGATTTAAAGAACAAAAGATATATAAAGATACCTGTCGGGAGCACAGAGACTGAGGACTTAGGTGGATAGAAACTGGAAAACATTCAACTGCTACTAAAACATTCCTCAACTTTTAAATCTATTTCTCAGGCACTGCGTAAACTTCAAATGAATCTTACAATGGAAAAAAGAAACCACTGAATTTACATACAAAGATACCATATGTTAGGAGCAATGTTCAATCAATTAACAAGCAAAAATAGAGGAATACCGATTTGAAAACAAAAATACTAAACTTACTCCCCCATGCCTTCAATCAATCTACCTGATATTATTTTCATCAAGATCTACGCATGTGACAGGAATCCCAGAAGCCCATTAACTGACACAAGCAATGCACTAAAGTGACAACAGCTGCAAATTTCAACACAACAGATTCATTTTATGCTGAATGCATATATACTATAGCTGTAATGCATTCCTGCAAAAACAAGTCACAAATGGACTGTTTTCTAGATTTAAAGAATTTATTTTGGCACTTATGAATCACAGAAGCCAGCAGGAAATGACTACGCGTCTTGTAGTCTCAGTAGGATTACCAGGATTACAGCAGGGTTGAGTGTCATCAACAGTACGCATATTGTGGTCAAGACTCCTGTACCAACTAGATAGCTTCACGTAACATAAATGGTTTTATTTGCTTAAAATCCAATATGGATTTGAAACAGGTAGGTCATCTGATGAATCCAATTGATTCTTTTACTTAATAGAAAGATGACTATGGAACTGACAGCTAGTTATTGACCTGGTTTGAAAACTGGTTGAGCAGAAGGAGATAGAGTAGCAATAGAGAGCAGATACTGTAATTGGCAGAGTGCCCCAAGTAGTGCCCCACGATAAGCTAAGTTACCGTCTCAACTATTCATTATATTTATTAATGACTTAAATAAATTAGAAAATCCAATATGTTAAATTTACCAATGATACCAAGGTAAGAATAATGTAATTAGTTAAGATGAAAATGTAATGTTATAGACAGATAAATAAAATGAAAAGACAAACAATCTGTAGCAACTGGATTTCACTGAAGGAAAATAGATCACCCACATGTGACCTAAAACGGATAAAATAGAGTAGCTTCTAAATAAGAAGAAAGCTAGAGGAAAATGGAAGTCTAGTGGTTGAGGGAATAGTTGGACTGTTTTCAGAGTGAAACTACCAGGAACAGTTCACAGCATGATGTGCTGAACATGGCAATATTCCTTCTGTGCATTCAGCAAGTACAAACATTTGCTGATGTGGTACATTGCAAGATTGAGATCCTGTACCTGCAAAGTCAGTTTCATGCAGTCAAAAGCTCAACAGGGAAGCCTGCTATCCCATAAGATTTGTAAAATCATATGTCTTCTACCTACATTTCTCTTTTTAGAGAGAACACAATAAATTCTCTGTTCAAATATACAGAGCATTTGTCAATTCTCCAACACAGCAATGAAGTTGTTACGTATAATGCCCATTTCAGAAGCCCACATGAAGAAATTCAGGAGCCACTGTCACCTTCACAGTGGCAGGGACATCCTCTCAGTTGTTAAACCGCAGGTCTGGTAACAGAAGGTGGCAGACATTTGAAAAGAGAAGTTTATGCACACACTGTTCCTGGTTTAGGTGGAGGTAAGAGAAATGTTCCAGAAGATCTAAGGAGAAGAAAGCATCCTGCTGACAGCCCCTCTCATCTTTCTTCCTCCTCTTCTCTCTTCAAGGAGTTGGTTGTCGTCGTTATTGACTCTGCTTCATCTTGCTCTTTTGCTGCAGCCATGGGGAATTGCAACTGTAGCATTCACAGTTGGGTGCAGTTCACAACAAAGAGCTTCCCTATCTGCAGCACCATTCCCACTCAATTTTAACCAACTTCTTAAAATGCCATGCCCTTGCATGAACTCAAACAGGGCCTTGACAGAATAATCAGCAATTATCATGAAAGGGGTGGATGATCACTTTGAGTAGCACTGACTGGAGCTTCGTTTCAGTTATTAAATTCATGTTCAACAGCGAGAAGTTAAGAAAGGGCATTAGCTAGATTGGCAAGGTTGAAAATGGTAGCATTGGTGTCAAATCAGTGTCACGATCTGACTGCTTCACAATATGTGTGCTTTACAATCTCCTTACTGTTGTCTAAACACATCAGCACAGACATCGTCTTGCTGGCAAAACAGCGGCCATTGTGCTAAAACTATGGATACAACAGATTCAAATTTTATAGGCATGTTTGTTACGAGCCTAGTTTTCTTAGTTGGGAAAAATGCCACACTACAGTATTTGAATGGTCTAATGTGAAAAGAAGTTTAAATTTAGTTTTAATGTTTTAAAAGCTACAAAATCTGTAATTTCCTGTTGGACAAAATTTTATGTGAAATTCAATATATTTCAGCATGTGCAGCTACCAGAGAGGTTTAAATAGAACTAAATTAAAGTTTCAACGGATCCCCAAAGATTTCTTACCTCCTTGAATTCCTTTCACAGTTGCAGTTTTCCCAGCATTATCCAACCCTATCATCACTAGAGTTACTTTCCTGTGAAAAGAGCATGGTTGTATTTAGGCAAGATTAATTCGCCTATTTGCAATACTTTAGAAAAGCATGTTGGACCATGGGTGTCAGATATCATAGCATGAATGAAGCTGGAGCCATGCACACTTTCAATCATAAAATTAACAGAAATCACAATTTCCTGATTACGACACAACCTTGCTGTAGCATCAGCGTGATCGCTGTTAAAATACTGGGTTGAGTATGTTACAAAGGAACAAAGTACAAGGAACTGACAATACATAAATTTAAGAGGGCAAAACCTGAAAATGATTTATCAATAACAATTATAGTCTTTATAAAAAATGCTGAGGTAAAGCTACCTGTCATCACCATAAAATTATACGTTGGACCAGTGCCTACGGAAACCATCATCAGCCAAAGAGTAGGGGCCCAGGAATACATCCTTGGCAAATTCAAATTCAAATCATTGTGGAGATGGAGAGGGAGAGAAAAAGAGCAGGAGAGAGAGAAGGTGGTGGGAGCACTGCAGGAGAGAAAGAATCATAAAGGGAAGGGCAACTGGTTTTGAAGATCCACTGTAAAAATATAAGATGAATTCAAAGGTGAAGTCATGGAACATTTTTTCAATTTAATGCCAAAGTGAATGAGGAAAATATCTTTGGGCCATGGAGTTCACAAAGATGGCGACAATCCAACCATCTCAGATGGTCCTGCTTCTCCCTGTTTCATTCAGCCCACCCCAACTAGTTCCTGAACCTGAGGTAGGGCTTATACATTTAATGGTAGGGCCTTGAGTAGTGTTGTAGAACAGTGAGGCCTAGGAGTGCAGGCATATATTCTTTGAAGTTTGCATCACATACAGACAGGGTGGTTAAAAAGGTGTTTGGCAGGCTTGCCTTCATTGCTCAGAATCTGAGTATAGGAGCTGGGAAGTCACGTTGAGGTTGTACAGGACGTTGGTGAGGCATCTTCTGGAAGACTATATCCAGTTCTGGTTGCCCAGTCATAGGAAGGATATTATTAAGCTGGAAAGGGTTCAAAAGAGATTTACCAGGATGTTGACAGGTATGGAACGTTTGAATTTTGAGGAGAGGATGGATAGGCTGGGACTTTCCTTACTGAAATGTAGAAGGTTGAGAGGTGACCTTATACAAGTTTATAAAATAATGAGGGGTATGGATAGAGTTAATGGTAGTTGTCTTTCCCCTAGGATGGGGGATTTCAAGGCTGGGGGCATATTTTTAAGGTGAGAGGACAGAGATTTAAAAAAGACATGAAGGGCAATTTTTTTTTACACAAAGAGTGGTTTGCATGTGGAATGAACTTCCTAAGGAAGTGGTGGATATGAGTACAATTACATTTAAAAAAGCATTTGGATAAATACATGAATAGGATAGGTTTGGACGGATATGGGCCAGGAGTAGGCAGGTGGGACTAGCTTAGTTTGGGATTATGTTCGGCATGGACTGGTTGGACCAAAAGGTCCGTTTCCATGTTGTATGACTCTATGACACATTATCTCTCCTGAGTAGTTTAGTTCTCTATATTAGTAATGGTACTAATGCCAAGCATCCCAATTCCGGGCTTTTTTTTATCTTTAGTACTAACAAAAAGGACAACTGATAAATTCGAATATTTATGTCGTGAATGTTTAAGGGTACAGATCAGTTAGGAAGGGTAGGAACTAAGTAAATCTGGACAGGTGGCTCTGTTAACTAATAGTGGTATTAACACAATTCAGAGGATGATACAAGGTCTGGAAATAGAAGTGGCTTGCATAGAGATGAGAAATGATAATGCTAAGCGGTCACTTGTCGGTGTGGTGTACAGGCCTCGTAACCTTAACCATATAACGGTAAGGAAAAGTTGCTAAAGTACCAAGGGCTGCTCTCTCATTGCAGAGAGACCACTGGTGGTAAGGGTCACATATCAGGTTTTGGGGGTTGGGGGAAGAAGGCAAGACCTTCAAGGTGACCTCAACCAATATGAGAATTGAACCCATGACATTGGTGTCACTCTGCATTGCAAACCAGCCATCTAGGCTAGTTGAGCTAACTGACTTAGTAACTATATGGTAGGATGGAGTATAAAGGAAAAAATAATGGAGTTTGTCAGAAAGGTATGGTAATAATTATGGGTGCTTTTAATCTACATATAGACTGCAAAAATTAGATGTGCAAAGAAAGCTTAGATGAGTTCATAGAATATTTTTGGGATTGTTCATTAGATGAGTACTTTCTGGAACCAATAAGGCCTTGTACTATGCAATGAAACAGGATAAATTAATGACCTCACAGTCATGGTGCTCCTAAGTAGCAGTGGTCTTACTCTGTTGAAACTTTACATTCAGTTTGAGGGGGAGAGGTGTGGGTCCAAGAATATTATTTTAAAATTAACTAAGGGCAATTATGAGATAATGAAAGCAGAGCTGGATAAAATGAACTTTCAAGTTAGATTAAGGTATGGGTAATACAGATGCAGTGTTAAACTTAAGGGCAAACAAAGAATAGATACATTTCAACAAGGAATTCCAAGAGGGGGCCTTTGGGAACTAAAAATGTTAGTCTCAAATAAAAGGAAAAAACACATAATTGTACATAGATGGAATGACAGGTTAGAAGATTGGACAAAATATTTAAAAAAGCAGAGATTGACTAAAATGGAATGTTTTTGCTTTATTGCTTGGGGGTTTGAAGTTTAAGAATAGGTAAGTTCGGCAGTATAACTGTAAGAAGCAGTAGTGAGGTCACACCTAGAATCCTGAGTGCAGTTTTACTCCTCTATTTAAGAAAGAATATTCTGGTATTGAGGATAATTCAAAAGTATTTCATTAGGCTGGTGCCTGGGATGAATGGGTTGACTTACCAGGAATGGCAAAGTAGGTTTGGCTTTTATTCATTACAGCTGAGAAGACTGAGTGTGATCTTACTGAAAATACAAAATTCCAGGTAGTCTTGGCAGAGTGGATGTTGAGAATCTAGAACTAGGGGGCATTGTTAAATAGAATAAGGAATATTTGTTTAAAACTGATGTGCAGAGGAATTTCTTCTCCCAGAGACCTGTGAATGTCTAGAATTCTATATCTCAGAGCACTGGAGATTAGATCACTGAAAATACTAAAAGAGGAGATAGATAGACTTCTGTAATATCAAGCAGTTGAGGGTTATGAAGAGCTAGCACAAAAATGGATTTGAGGCCTGGACATATCATCCACAATCTTATGGAATGGTGGGGCAGGCTTGAGGGGCTGAATGAGCCTACGCTTGCTTCTATTTCTTATGATTTTACAGTATTACAGGCATTGAATGATACAGCATAGAAACAGGTCCTTCAGTTCATCATGTCTATGCTGAACAAGAAGAATCAAACTACACCAATCCAATTTACCTGTACTTCGTCCATAGGCTACTATGCCCTGGAATTTTAAGTGCTTATACAGATATTTCTTCAATGTTGTGAGAGTTCCTGACTCTATCACACTCTCAGGCACCCTGTGGGTGATTTTTTTTTTCTTTCAGACCTCTTCTAAACTACTTACTCCTCACTTTCAACTTATGCCCTCTGGTCTTAGGCACGCCTGCCATGGGGAAAAATTCTCATGAACTACTCTATTTATGCCTCTCATAATTTTGTATACATCAATCAGATCTCCCCTTTGCTCCTCTACTCAGAGTCAATGAGTCATACAGCGTGGAAATAGGCCATTTGGCCCAACTATTCCATGCCAACCAGTTTTCCTAAACTGAACAAATCCCATTTGCCTGTGTTTAACCCATATCCCTCTAAACCTTTCCTATCCATGTATCCTTGCAAATGTCTTTAACATGTTCTAATTGTACTGGTCTCTACCACTTCCTTTGATAGTTCGTTCCACATACACCATCCTCTGCGTGAAAATGTTGCTTTTCAGGTCCCTTTTAAAACTTTCCCCTCTCACCTTAAACCTATGCCCTCTCAAACTAGAGACCCCTATGCTGAGGAAAAGACCTTGTCCATTCACCTTATCTATGTGCCTCATAATTTTATAAACCTCTATAAGGTCACCCCTCAGCCTCACACCTTCCAGGGAAAAATATCCCAGCCTATCCAGCCTTTCCTTATAACTGAAACCTTCCAGTCTCAGTAACATCATTGCAAATCTTTTTTACACCCTTCCTATAGCAGGATGACCAGAATTATACCTAGTACTCCAATGTGGCCTTATTAATGTCTTGTACATCCACAACATGACATCTCAACTCCCATACCCAGTGCACTGACCAATGAAGGCAGGCATACCAAACACCTTCTTCACCACTCTTGTCTACCTGTGACTCCACTTTCCAGGAACAATGCACTTGCATCCCTAGGTCTCTTTGTTCGGCAATACTACCCAGGGCCCTGCTATTAACTGTATAAGTCTTGTTCTGGTTTGCTTTACCAAAATGCAACACTTCACATTTATCTAAATTAAAGTCCATCTGCCATTCCTCGGCCCTGTGGCTCATCTGGTCAAGGTCCCATTGTACTGAGATAATCTTCTTCACCGTTCACTACACCACCTATTTTGGTATTGTTTCAGTGAGACTCCAATCTCATTAAAACCAAAAATGAAAAACACAAAATATGACAATCAGTCTGTGATACAAAGTCAGCTGTGATTGTAACATAAGCTTAAATTAACTGCCATATTTCCTGCTTACAACAATGTGCAGGCTTCAAAGAAAAACTTCATTGATTGTATAAAATGCTTTAAGACATCTGAGGATCATGAAAATGCTGGATGAATGCGCATCTTTCTTTCTATTAATCTTCTCTAGTGTCATAATTCTCAAATATCTGGATTCTTCTAATTCCAGCCTCACCACCATCCCTAATTTTAAATCTCCTGAGCACTGGCAGCCATGCCTTCAGCTTCCTGAGCCCTAAGCTTTGGAAGTCCCACACTAAACCTTACACTCACTACTGTGTTTTCCTTCTTCAAGATGTTATTAAAATCTATACCTTTGACCAAGCCTTTGGTCATTTCATAAATTGTTAATTATGCCAATAACTATCCCACCCTCTTTCAATAATTAAACCACAGACTACAGAAAGTTGGTTTCTCACCAAAACTGAAACACATCATTGTTAAACACTAAAGTGGAAGTACTGGAATTGGGTTTAGTTTCTAATCAAAAGTTGAACATTTTTAACTAATGTCTCCACCTGTTCAACACATTCCTTCTTAGTGATGGCGGGAGGTGGTCAAGATTTCCCTCACTTCCTCCCAATCCACTTCTCCTCTAAAACATAATGGAATACATTAGTCTTTGCATCCTTTTAATAGTGTTTTCACAGAACAGTTTGATCCAAATTGAAAGGATTAAAGCTCAAAATTAGATTGGTGCATAAGACTATATAATTTGCTTAGTCTTGCTGAATTTGCAGAAATGACTTAGCCTAACAGTAACTTATGGACAGAACAGCATGAGAATAAGTGGTGACTTAAGGGGGAATGGGTTTGCTGATAATTATAAGGTTAGATCAGCTAGGACATTGCTGTTTATGATAAGTTTCCATTCTTGATGAAACGAGAACCAAACGGAGGAAATGGAAAGTTCTGAAGGTCACAGTAAATAGTGGACAGGATAGTTCAATGTCAGGGACAAGAGTCATGTGTGATTTATTTTTAAAATAACCATGTAAGTGCAGAATTGAAAGCATAAACAAGGGCACATCATCCAGTGATGTAATTATGGTCCATGAAGTAATGTTACTAAAATGGGATAAATACATTAGAGAGTGGTTGAATTGTTGAGACATTTTTGAGCAGTTTGAGGGTGTTTTCCCTGTATGCTTACTTTGACTTTGCAATAAAATGCTGCTCGATTTACTTTATAGCTGTCTTATAGCAAGTCTTTAGACAGTCTGTACAACAAATGTCTGCCACAAAGCGGATCATGAAGGTCTATTGTCATATTTTGGAAAGCCAAAAATGATAAAATTAGATGCAATACTGCAAGGATCAATCACGTGCAGACACATCAAAACCCATTTAATTTCAAAATAAAACTAAATTTAAATAACTCAAATGTATCAAGCTAACTAGTACACTGAATTTTCTTTATATTTTTCAGAAACATGTGTTGTCTTGTAGGTGTAGCACCTGGTGGACACCTGTGTCATCTGCAGCAATCACATCCTGTGAAAGAGTCTGTAGCTCGGGAACATCGACTCAGCTAACAAGCTGGAAGCCAAACTTCCGGATACTGTAATACATCAGGGAGGGGGAAATTTACCTGGATTCGTTGTTCCAGGAGGCAGTCACATCCCTCAGGCTAGGTTAGTGGTTCCCAAACTGTGAGTTGCAAAACCATTGAAATGGTCTCAAAGATGCACTTAGAGACATAGAGATGTACAATATGGAAATGGACCCTTTGGTCCAACTTGTCCATGCCAACCAGATATCCTAAATAAATCTAGTCCCATTTACCAGCATTTGACCCATATCCCTTTAAACCTTTCCTATTCATATACCCCTCCAGATGCCTTTTAACTGTTGTAATTGTACCAGCCTCCACCACTTCCTCTGGCAGCTCATTCCATACTTCTGCATGAAAATCTTGGTCCCTTTTAAACCTTTCCTCTCTCACCTTAAACCTATGCCCCATAGTTTTGGTCTCCCCCACACTGGGGAAAAAGACCTTGGCTATTTACCCTATCTATGCCCCTCATGATTTTATAAACCTCTATAAGGTCACCCCTCAGCCTTCGGCACTGCAGGGAAAATAGCCCCAGCTTATTCAGCCTCTCCCTATAGCTCAAACCCTCCAACTCTGGAAATATCCTTGTAAATATTTTCTGAACTCTTTCAAGTTTGACAAGATCCTTCTTGTAGCAGGTTGGCAAGAATTGCACAGAGTGTTCCAAAAGTGGCCTAACCAATGATCTGTACAGCTGCAACATGACCTCCCAACTCCTATATTCAATGCACTGACCAATAAAGGCAAGCACACCAAACGCGTTCTTTACTATCCTACCTACCTCTGACTCCACTTTCAAAGAACTATGAACCTGCACTCCAAGGTCTTTTTGTTTAGCAAAACTCCCCAGGACCTTAATATTAAGTGTATAAGTCCGGCCCTGATTTGCGTTTCCAAACTGCAATCTCGAACTGCCTTGCTCCAGGCAAACATAGTGACTGTGGAGAGATGGCTGTCCAGTCTGAGGTTGAGGCAGGACAGCAACAGATTTACTGGATCATTGGCACCAAACAGGAAGGGGGAACGATGAGCCCAAAAGGTTATTTAACATGAAAAATCAGCAAATGTTTGCGCATTGATGTGGTCTGATCAGAAGTAGACAAGCAGTAACCAATCGTGGGAGCAACCAGGAGCGTATATAGCTAGGGGAGTTTATAGTGATATTCAGAGAAAATGACTTCAGTTCTCGTAAGATTTAGGGCTTAAATGTTTTGCTCAGTCAATTTTGAATACTGAAGAAGCAGTCTAACAATTTAAAGTTGGAGGCGGGGTTTTGAGAGAATGTGGTAAGGTGACACATGTGGAAACTAGTAGTGTTAGAAAAGGAGGGATGATGATGTAGTACAAAACCTTTGCTTGAAGATGGGCCTATATGATCTGGTTGGCATGAATAGAGAAACACAAACCAAATCCTACTAAATTCCAGTTGCAGTTTTCACACCTTGATGTAGTAAAAGGATAATTGCTTTGTGGAGAGAGACATGTCGAGAAACAAAGAGAGAAAGAGACACAACACAGCTAGTACTTTGAATAACAACAAAAACTGTTTTCTACATAAGCAACTAAATTAGTGAGAGTTGGCTTTCTTTTCAAAAAGATAGAACTGATAGGAGGTTTGGAGGTTTATGGAATCACTATGATCAGTTGGTTTGGGAAGTTGCAGCCTGGTATGACAGGGACATGCAAGCCTCCTGCTAATTTGGGAATGATTTGGGACTCTTGTAATTTTATATTACGGCCAGCAAAAGAACTACTGAATTACATTAATTAGTTAATCTAAAAGTAGTTCTAATTTGGTGTAATGGTTGCCTCTTAAGTATTAATTGATCAATGTTGATTTTAGTTGTTAGTTGCAGTAAAAGTCTTAAAACATTAAGTTTTTGTTTAGTTCACTTCTGTTGCTTGCTGGGAAATTCATCCTTTGTAATAAAAAAACTTATTTGTATCCATGGAGATCATAAAATTATCATACAAAAATTTAATAGAAGTGAAAAGTTTAATAATTCTTAGAAAGTACTTTGTCAATACTGCAGACCAATTATTGGGAATTTCTATGATAATAGTCTCAGGTAATACTTAAATCATAGAAAAAGCCAAAAGTATTACACTTACAGGAATAATGAAAAAAATTTCTTAAAAAAAATAGATCAGGAAACTTCTGTGAAGAGAGAAACAGAGCTAATATTTCAGGTCAACTTAATTAGAAATGCTTAAATCATACCTTACAGGTTCTTGCCAACGTTTTAGCCAGCTGCAGCAGTTAGCCATAAGACTAAACATCCCTTTTCAGAATGCTGAAAGCATCAGATTTCAGCAAGTGCACAAACAACTGAGATGCAAACACCTGCAACAAAATCAAGAAAACCAAGAAGAATAAACATTTAAAATTAAATGGAAAATAATTTAAGACATTAGACTATTTACATAATGAGTCAGGAAATCTAAAACCTCCTTTCTTAGAAATTAGAGTCATAAAACGCAGAAGAACTTTTCAACACATCAAGTCTATGCTGATCAATCTCCATTAATTCCATTTTCCAGCACTTGGCCCATAGCCTTGAATGTTACGACATTCCAAGGGCTCATCCATGTACATATAGAGTCATGGAATAATACAACATGGAAACAGACCCTTCAGTCCAACTTGTCCATGCCAACCAAGTTTCCCAAACTAAACTGTCCCATTTGACTACATTTAGCCCATATCCCTCTAAACCTTTCCTATTCATGTACCGTCCAAATGTCTTTTATATGTTGTAACTGTACCTGCATCTACCACTTCCTTTGGCAATTCATTCCACATACAAACCAACACCTGTGTGAAAAGTTTATCCCTCGTGTCCCTTTTAAATTTTTCTCCTCTCACCTCAAAATTATGCCCTTAGTTTTGAACTCACCTACCCTAGAGAAAAGACCCTTCCTATTCACCTTATCTACACCCCTTATGATTTTATATATCTCCATAAGGTCACTCCTCAAACTCCTACACTCAAGTGACAAAATTTCCAGCCTGTCTAGTCTCTCCTTATAACTCAAACCTTCCAGTCTTAGTAACATCCTGATAAATCTTCTCTGCACCCTTTCCAGGTTACTAATATCCTTCCTATAGCAGGGTGACGAGAATTGGACACAGCACTCCAGAATTGGCCTCACCAACACCCTGTACAACTACAACATAATGTTCCAACTCCTATACTAAATGGTCTGAGCAATGAAGGCAAGCATGCCAAATGCCTTCTTTACTGCCCTGTCTACCTGTAAAGCAACTTTCAAGGAAATATGTACCTGCACCCCAGGTCTCTCTGTTCAAAAACACTCCCCAGGCCCCTACCGTTAACTGTGTAAGTTCTGTCCTTGTTTGACTTATCATTGCCCCAATTGATCAAAATCTCTTTTATAGTCTTAGATGGCGTTCTTTACTATCTGCCATCCCACCAATTTTGGTGTCATCTGCAAACTTACTAAATATGCTTCCGAAATTCACATCCAAATTATTTATACAAATGAAAACAACACTGGTCCCAGTACCAAGCCCTGCGGAACACCACTGGTCACAGGCCACCAGTCCAAAAAAACAACTGTCCACCACCACCCTCTGTCTCCTACCGTCTAGCCAATTTTGTACGCAATTGGCAAGCTCTCCCTGAATCCCATGTGATCTAACTTTACTAACCAGTTTACCATGCAGAACCTTGTCAAATGCCTTACTAAAGTCTATGCAGACATCTACCGCTCCGCCCTCATCTATCTTCATATTAACATCCTCAAAAAACTCAAACAAGTTAGTGAGACACGATTTCCCATGCACAAACCATGCTGACTATCTCTAATCAGTCCTTGCCTCTCCAAATGCATGTAAATACTGTCTCTCAGAATCCCCAATAACTTACCTACCACTGATGTCAGACACACCGGTCTATAGTTCCCAGGCTTCTCCTTGCAGCCTTACTTTTTACAGGTTGTGACGTTTCCTGCCTCCAATGTAATCCCAGGCAGTACATTCCAGATTCCCACCACTTTGTGAAAGAATCTTTTCCTGAAATCCTCTCTGATCTTCCTGCCCTTCACCTTAAAATTATGCTACCCCATATGTCCCTCATCATCTAGTATACCTCAATCAAGACCGCCACCCCTAACCCAGCATTCTCTGCTCTAAAAATAAACGAGCCTATCTGGCCTGTCTTCATAGCTAAAATTCTCACTTTAAAGTGTTATTGGATTTCCTAAAAAGTTAATGGGAAGAAAATAAAGGAACAAATTGGAAGGGGGAAGAGGAAAGAGCAAGTGGAGACAGAGACAAGGTAAAGCAGTGTTAGGCTCAGTATGGGGGGGCGCAAGGTGGTAGGGAGGTAGGGATGTAGGATGTTAGAGTTTGCGGGGGGTGGAATTAGTCTTCAATTTCCTTCTGCAAATTTTGCCCTATTACTGTATGCATGTGGAAGATAATTTTGTTTCAGTGGTGTTCAAGGATGGGGGAGAGATTATCAGCTAACACCAGGAGCCCTGTACCCAATGTATGTTATATTACATTTAGCTATCTGACTCCTTGTAATCCTTCAGTTGGACCTTGTTTAGCACAGCTAGTTTAAGTTACTCATTCTGCTACATTTATAAATTACTTTTATTCTTCAAATTTCAACTTTTTCCTATTTTTTTTCTTAGTGGCTTCTCACTTCTTTCATACACTGTTTTACACTGTGGTTTATCCTACATAATGCTGAGCTCCAGGTATATTGTATTTTTCATGTTCACAGGCTGTCCCAAAACTTGACAACCAATAGTTTGTTTTCAAAGTGCCATCATGTTGCTGTGCAGCCGAATGCAGCTAAGTTGCAAAAAGTGGGATTTTATGCACAAAATCATTAAACATGCAGACACAGTGAGACCTCCCTAGGCTTCTTCATCTTGTTTTATGGAATATTTTACATTCATATAAACAAGGAAACAAGCATGATTCATTTATTGTCCTCCAAAACAACAAATCTTACATTAAATTACTCTATAAATGTTTCTTATTCTTTCACAGGATGTGGACATTGCTTGCAAAACCAGCATTTATTACCCTTCCAAATTGCAAAAACAGCTGTTAAGAGTCAACCAGATTGTTGAAATCACATGTACACCACACCAGATGAGCATGGCAGTTTCCTTTCTTAAAGGACATTAGTGAACTAGATGGGATTTTTCCATTAATGGGCAGGGAGCAGAGGGATACAGATCCTTGGAAAATAGGCGACAGGTTTAGATAGAGGATCTGGATCGGTGCAGGCTTGGAGGGCCGAAGTGCCTGTTCCTGTGCTGTAATTTTCTTTGTTCTTTGTTCTAACAACCAGCAATAGATTCATGGTCATCACGTGACTCTTATTTCCAGATTATTATTGAATTTAAATTCCACCATCTGCCATGGTGGAATTTGAACCGAGGTCCCCAGAATATTACCTGGATCGCTGGACTAATAGTCTAGTGATAATACCACAAGGCTGTCACCTCTTCTATTATGTTAGGTAAGGCTATATAGCTTTCCAACACCAAAGAATGAATGTACAGTTTTCATCATATTTTTCTGACTGTATGATACTCTAGAACTATAAAGAAGTATGACTTAAAGTATATTTGAAAATGTGGACAATGGAAGAACATACAGGACTGAAATAAATTTTGAAAGGGCTTAATGTTTTTCAATACAAAAATGGAATGTAATTCCAAATGGATCAATATATTTCAGAAACAGTACAATAGATACTGAATCAAAAGTATCAACCTTTTTCATGACTGAAGAAGAGATTTACAAGGATGTTGTCTGGGATGGACAGTATTAGTTATGAAGAGAGAGTGAACAGCCTGGAGTCAGATGAGACTGACAGGGGACATAATAAAGATGTGTAAAATTATGAGGGATATTGACAAGTTAGACGGAAAGTATCTTTTCTTTTTGGTGGAGGGATCACTGACCGGGGGCATAGATTTAAGGTAAGGGGCAGGAGATTTATGGGGGTGTAAAAAATCTGGAATTCACTGCCTATAGGGTGGTAGATGCAGAAACCCTCATAACATTGAAGGAGTATCCAGATGTATACTTGCGATGCCAAGACACACAAGGCTATGGCCAAGTGCTGGAAAATGGGAGCAGAGGAGTTAGTTGGCCGTTTTGACCAGCGCAAACTTGATGGGCTGAAGGGCCTTTTCCCAGGCTTAGACATCTACACTGCTATGACTATGGCTCTATTTTACTCAGCCATCAGTTAACACTTGTAAAACATTGTGGGAATTAAGAAAGTGATGCCTTTCCTACCCCCATAATAAAGGACTACACAAGTCTTGACTGCACATGAGAAACAGCATTTATATAATTCCTTTAACATAGTAAAACATCTCAAGGTGCTTCATAGAAGTGTTATTAAAATCTGACATTAACCACACTAAAAACAATCATGATTTCATCTATCAGATTTCATGGTCTCAGGAGAGCCAAAGGGCTTTACAGTCAATGAATACTTTTTGCAGTATAAATACTAATGTAGAGTAGGAAAATGTGACAGGCAATTTGGACAAAGCAGTGGCATAATAACCAGTCTATTTTACTGTTGCTGAGATTCATTTGGGTAGGATCTCAAGACGACATCCCCTACTTTTCGTCACTATGGTCTTCTATAACCACCCAAGAGGGCAAATGACTCCCAAATTAGCCTCCATGTGCACAAAAACCAATGTTAGTATACCTAATTTAAAGGACATTAAGGCCAGATGACCAAAAGCTTTGTTAAAGATTTGAAGGGCAGCTTTAAAAATAGAAATTTCAACAAGATGACTGCTCATTCTTCAAATGCCTAGAGAGTACAGACCTAGTTTCCCAAACTTGATTCATAGACAGTCCTGTCATCCCAGGAACAACTATGAAATAGAGGTACGCAACAAAGCTTATCAATAATATATTTCCTGAGATAAGGATACCAAATCTGCACATAGATATAGTCATAGAGTGATAGACAGCACAGAAACAGAGACTTCGGTCAACTCATCCATGCCAATCAGATATTTTAAATAAATCTAGTCCCATTTGCCAGCATTTGGCCCATATCCCTCTTAACCCTTCCAATACATATACCCATCCAGATGTCTTTTAAATGTTGTAATTGTACAATCCTCCACCACTTCCTCTGGCAGCTCACTCCATACATGCACCACCCTCTGCGTGAAAAAGTTGACCCTTAGGTCCCTTTTAAATCTTTCCCCTCTCACCTTAAACCTGTGGCTTCTAGTTTTGGACTCCCCCACCGTAGGTCATCCCTCAGCCTCCGACACTCCGGGCAAAATAGCCCCAGCTTATTTGACCTCTTCCTACAGCTCAAATCCTTCACCCCTGTAACATCCTTGTAAATCTTTTCAGAACCCTTTCAAGTTTCACAACATCCTTCCTAAAGCAGGTAGACCAGAACTGCACACAGCATTCCAAAAGTGGCCTAACCTATGTCGGGTAGAGCCGCAACATGACCGCCCAACTCCTATACTCAATGCACTGACCAATAAAGGCAAGCATACAAATGCCTTCTTTACTATCCTATCTACCTGTGACTCCACTTTCAAGGAACTATGAACCTGCACTCCAAGGTCTTTTTGTGCAGCAACACTCCCCAGGATATTACTATGAAGCATTACGTCCTGCCCTGATTTGCCTTTCCAAAATGCAGCACCTCACATTTATTAAAATTAAACTCCATCTGCCACTCCTCAGCCCATTGGCCCATCTGAAAAGATCCTGTTGTACTCTGCGGTAACCTGCTTCGCTGTCCAGTCCTCCAATTTTGGTGTCATCTGCAAACTTACTAACCGTAGCTCCTATGTTCACATCCAAATCAGTCTGACCAAGCTTCTCATATAACTGAAGCAAAACTTCATTCCTCCTATTTGCAAATCTCCTTCAATAAAGGCTAACATGTCAATAGCCTTCCAATAGCTTGCTGCACATACACGTTAGCCTTCACTAATTTGTCAACAAGGACACCTATGTCCCTTTGTTCACCTAGACTTTCTAACCTCCTACTTTTTAAGAAATGCTCTGCACATTTGTTTTTCCTACCAAAGTGGATAGCTTCACATTTTTCTATATTACTTTCCATCTGCCTTGTTGTAGCCCAATGCCTGAGTATTTCCAAATCCTCCTCAAACCAAAACAGCAAAGCAAATACAAAAAAAGGCTCTGAATTGTATAAATCTCAAATCTATGTGATATAATGTGCATGCATGCTGAAAAATGTCAAGTGAAATATTTAACAAGCAACTTTATTATGATGGAGTGAAGAATTTAACATTTGCTATATTCATATGAAATTCAGCAGCTTTGTTATTTTGCTATTGTATTAATTTGAAATGATCTCTATTGAACATAAGACCAGATGTAGGGCAGGGAGCATTTTCTTGCAGGTTCAGCTCTGTTTTTAGAGATGTGGTGGCTCTGAAAAGCACCTTTGGATTCAGATTTTTACATTTCCAAACTTTTATTTCTTGGCAGCTGTTTTCTTTACTAATCATTTCTTGTTTCTTTGTTTCTTCACTTTTAACCAGTTGCTCCAGGTTTCCTTCTTTGCAATTGAGACTTTCTCTATCTTCCTTTTGACAGTGAACCTAAACTGGTACTGGAATGTGTCTATATCGACCCTATTGTCAGCCAAGGTTATCTTAATTGAGAACATGGACATTCCCTTACATTTGCTGCAACCTTGTTCCTGTTTCACAGCCCAGGTGAAAGCTGTAAATGACAAGAGTCATCACAGCAATATGCATGCTTAGCAGGCACTGGCCATTCTGCATTTGTATCATACATACCAAAACAAAAAAAAAGCAGAACAGATATCACAATGACTTGGAGAGATTGAACATGCTAAGGTAACTTCTAAAGAAGAAGACTTGCCGTTGTGAGAAAATTCCAAAACTAGAGACTATATATTTAATTATTTGGACGTAAAGATCAAAAAGCAATGGTATAATAACTAGAGATAACAAAGTGTGGAGCTGGAGGAACACAGCAGACCAGGCAGCATCAGAGGAGCAGGAAAGTTGACGTCTCAGATCGGGACCCTTCTTCCTTTCCGATCCAAAACGTCAACTTTCCTGCTCTTCTGGCCTGCTGTGTTCCTCCAGTTCCACACTTTGTTATCTTTGACTCCAACATCTGCAGTTCTTGCTATCTCGGTATAATAACTAGTCTATTTTACTGTTGCTGAGATTCATTTGGCTAAGATATCAAGGCCACCTCCCCTACTCTTCTTCACTCTTCGTTCTGAGGAAGGGTCACCGGTCTGAAACGTTAACTGTTTTTTTTCCTTCACAGATGCTGCCAGACCTGCTGAGCTTTTCCAACAACTTTGTTTTTTTTTCTTCTTCACTATAGTCTTGCATATCCACCCAAGAAAAAGACAATTTGTCAAAGCTTTTCCACGTGCATTCATCAGGACAATTTGCCAGAAATAACAATATAAAGGGAAACAACATTTATACGGTTATAAGAGCGTTGATAGTTTGACAAGCACAGTCCAATTGGTTGAGGTTTTCAGCAAAACATTCCTTTGGCAGCAACAGTGTATAGTTATTAATAAAATCAAAAGGAAAATAACAAGAAATTGCTCTACTTAGGGACCGAAACTCATTACCACAAGAAATGGTTAAGGCAAACAGATTGGATGCTTTCAAATACGTTGAAAGGCTGAGATTTTCGGTAGATAAAATGAGAGGAGACGGGAATGTGAATAGTAGCATAGGCTATTTGAGCAGCTTATTCTGTTAGTGTACGGTTTGTTGTATATTTCATAGGATTGCCAACGTCAATTTCAGGCAAATATTTGTTTTGAAAATACAGTGGCACAGCGCTGTCACAAATCAATGGGCTGGTTGTACCAAACAGACAAGTCAGAACGTGCAAGGAAAGGTGGGACACAAGTAGTCGCTGAAGAATCAGTTTTAAAAATGATAATAATTAATTATTTAAGAAAAAACTTTTTGTCCATGAGCAACGTGAAAGGAACCCAGACAAGTATAGTGGTGAAACTGATGGCACGGCTTTCTTTGATCCCCAACACATCGGCCCACCTTCTATACTCTAAGACAACGACATTAATTTCTTCAGAATGAGACATATTTAAAGAGCCTGCACTTCTTGCCCACTTCCCAATATCAGAGGGTGAAAAATCCGGAATTCTTCTTTCCAGTTCGGGGCTAGCTGGGAAGGAGGCGCTGCAGGTTTGACCGTGCCAACCCAAGCAGCGCCAATCTTAACCTTTCTCAGCCCCTCCATGAGCACTGCGGGGCTGGATGGGGAAAGGGAAAACAACACAAAAGAAAAGCCGCTCGCTTGCCTCCTTCCCGTCTTTCCTTTTGGCCGTGGCTGCCCCAGCGCCACGCGGCTGCGGCCCCAACTCCGTGTGGATTTACCCCCTCCCTATCTCTGGCACCCCCCCTGGACAAACATCACTTACCACCCGGCCTCGGCCATGGATCCCGCTCACAGTGGTATATCCGGGTATTCTCACTTCTCCGTTACCCAGGTGTCCGTTGCTAAGGGGGTTGCCAAGTTCCACACCGTCGCCGTGGTGACGGTGGAACCGCCCCGCGCAGTGACGTCACTGCCCGCCGCGCGCGTGCTCGTGCTGGTGACCGTTGCAGCATTTTTTTGCCCACGCCCCGAGACTGAGCGTGCGGCGACTTTGCAACTGTTTCTGCATTTACACGAGTCAAGATAAACACTAGTTTGCAGCCCTGAGGTGTGGTTATAATCCAAACAAAGTAAATCTAACAACATTGCTCCACGCTGTTAAGAGGGGCACAATGTGTAGAACCCCGAATCGCAGAGAACAACGGCGATTTCTGATGAAGTGTCCAGACCCGAAACGTTAGCCTTCTTGCTCCTATTGATGCTGCTTGGCCTGCTGTGTTCATCCAGCTCTACACCTTGTTATCTCAGATTCTCCAGCATCTGCAGTTCCTACTATCTCTGAAAGAAATATAGCCTGTTTGGCAATGAACGAATATGCCTCTTCACTCAGGTTTTCTTTAAATATCCCCTTACACCCTTAGAACCAACAGACAAGTTTCTCATTAGTACTTGCACCTTATTGAGAGAAAATTTTCACTGTGAGCTGTTGTCTTGCAGCTGACACAGGAGATGCATCCCCATAACGTTGTGTTGTTCACTGAGGCATAAAAAATTCAAATCCTAGCAATCTTACATCACTAAAGCAAAAATGAAACCACAGCAATCCCCCATCATCAAGGAATCAAGTCCTTAGCTCTTTGCCCTCTTTTCCCTTTTTTCTCCTCACCTTCTGAAGAGGATCATGAGAGAGAATAATTGGTAACGATCCAAATCAAGAGTCAGTATGGTCTGCTGGTATGTTGTGAATAGACAAAGTATTCATAACCAAGTAATGGATTAGAAGTATTAGAAACTGGAAGAATGAGTAAGAAATACAAAATGAATGAATTCAATATCAAATCAAAATGAGAACTGAGAAGTAGAAAATAAAAGGAAAAAAATAGAAAATGAATAAATGTATATTTTATACAAGGTTCAGCAATCAGAAATTTGTACCCAAAATATAACCACAATTTGTGCTGGTTAGTTTACAGTTCAAGCTTTCTCTAAAATGTATTTGCAGAATAAACACAATTTGCATTAAAAATACTCGTATAGTAACCTGATATATTTTTCCTTCATCCAGCAGAAAATGGGTTGATCATAAAAAATTGTCATCTTTAACCAGTGTCTGGTCTATTACCTTTGAGTGCTGTTGTCTGAAATCACAGAAAATGACCGTACTAAACCATTTAGGATGTTTGTCACTGTAGATAGGTCATTTAATTTGCAAATCTAATATGTTTTTATAGATTTTTAAAAAATGTGCTCGTGTGCGTATGAAAATAGCCACAATTTGAAGATCTATTCTGAACTATTTCCATTGTGGAAGATTGCAACATGCACCGAGGAGGCATGGTTAGTTTGCTTGTTTGCCACTTAATTTGAACAAATTAAATCTTAAATCAGTGTGATAGATTGCAGAAAATCCTAAAGTTAGTGGTTTTCAATTTTTAAAGCTTTTCTGATGAATTGGTTGATTGTGCTTTTTTTCTGCCAATAAAACTAACAAAAAGAAATATAAATTCTAAACCATCATTTTTTTAAATCTCCAAAACCAGAAGAATGAGAGACCAAATTTGTAATAATTCTGTTACCATAAGTTAGTGTGGCAGCAATTGACTCGTACATTGTTAAAGGGTACTTAAGACAAAGTTGACCTGCTTTAGGTTTCTGTGGTGACTTTATGTTTATGTTTAGGCCAATTTTAAACCATTCAATCCATTTTAATGCTCTGAATCCATCTTTGATCTGATTTATTATTGTCCCATGTACCTAAATACAGTGAAAAGTTTTGGGTGCAGTACAGGCAGATCAAACCATACAAAATGCATTTGGGCAATAAAACAGAGCCAAGAATACAATGTTATGGTTGCAGAGGAGTTGCACAAACAATGAGATCAACATTAAATTTAAAATTTGAGAGGCCCATTCAGAAGTCTAATAACAATGGAGAAGAAGCTGTTCATGAATCTGTTGTACATGTGTTCAAGCCTTTATATCTTCTGCCAGATGGAAGAGGTTGGGATAGATTATCTCTGAGTGGTAAGGGTCTTTGATTATGTTCACTGCCTTCCTGAGGCACCGAGAAGTATAGATGGAGTCAGTGGATGGAAAGTTGGCTTGCATGATGGACTGGGCTATGTTCACAACTCTCTGTAGTTTCTTACAGTCCTGGGCAGAGCAGTTGCCATACCAAGTCGTGATGCATCTGAATAGAATGCTTTCTATGGTGTGTCTATAAAAATTGGTAAGAGTCTTTACAGACATGCCAAATTTCTTTAGCCTTCTGAGGAAATAGAGGCATTATTGTTCTTTCTTGACTATCGCATGGGTGGTCCAGGACAGATTGTTGGTGATCATCACTCCTAGGAATCTAATGCTCTTGACCATCTGCACCTCAGCTCCATTCATGTAAATAGAGTTGTGCCCTCCCCTTTGCTTCCTGAAGTTAATGATAAGCTCTTTTGTTTTGCTGACATTGAGGGAGAGATTGTTATCTTTACACCATGCCACCAAGCACTCAATACCTTTTTGTCTGGTCATTGTTTGAGATCCAGCCTACAACGGTAATTTCGTCACCAAACTTGTAGATGGAGTTAGGATGAAATTTGGCCACACAATCATGAGTGTATAGGGAGTATAGTAAGGGGCTGAATATGCAGCCATGTGGGACACCGGTGTTGAGGATTATTGTGGAGGAGATATTGTTGCCCATTCTCATTGATTGTGGTCTGTGGGTCAGGAATTCAAGGATCCAGTTGAAGAGGGTGGAGCAGAGACCCAGGTCTTGGAGTTTGGAGATTAGTTTGGTTGGAATTATGGTGTTAAAGGTGGAGCTGTAGTCAACAAGTAGGAGCCTGACGTAGAGATAGTAAGAACAGCTGATGCTGGAGTCAGAGATAATACAGTGTGGAGCTAGAGGAACACAGCAGGCCAGGCAGCATCAGAGGAGCAGAAAAGTTGACGTTTTGGGTCAGGACCCTTCTTCAGAAATGGCGGGGGGGCGGAAATGGGAGCTCAGAAATAAATAGAGAGGAGGGGTGGGGATGGGGAAGGTAGGTGGGATAGTTTTCAGTTGTTTCAGCGGCGGGAGTCTGGGAGGAAGCGCGAGGGCAGCCTGGGAAGGTGAGCTTTTCGGTTATAAAAGTCTTACCTCGCGTGACTCCATTTTTGGAGTAAGTGAGGTAATATATTTGGGTGGTTGCTTTACCCGAAACACTACCTAGGTAGTGTCTCCCACCCATCCTCCTCCTCTAACCAAAAAAAAAGGTTCTGAGCGCTGATTTGGTAAGGCTACTAGTATTTTTTTTTAATTTGTCTGTTTGGGAATTCAGAACAGTGGGAATGGATGTTAGGGCAGTTGTATGCTCCTCCTGTAGAATGTGGGAGGTAAGGGTCACCACTAGTGTCCCCACTGACTTCATCTGCGGGAAGTGCACCCAACTCCAGCTCCTCGGAAACCGTGTTAGGGAACTGGAGCTGGAGCTGGATGAACTTCGGATCATTCGGGAGGCTGAGGGGGTAATTGAGAGGAGTTACGGGGAGGTAGTTACACCTCAGGTACAGGAAAAAAGTAGATGGGTTACAGTCAGGGGACGGAAAGGGAACAGGCAGACAGTGCAGGGATCCCCTGTGGCCATTCCCCTCAAAAACAAGTACACCGTTTTGGATACTGTTGTGGGGGTGACTTACCAGGGGTAAGCCATGGGGTACGGGTCTCTGGCACAGACTCTGTCCCTGTTGCTCAGAAGGGAAGGGGGGAGAGGAGGAGAGCATTAGTCACTGGGGAATCCATAGTTAGGGGGACAGATAGGAGATTCTGTGGGAACGAGAGAGACTCGCGGTTGGTGTGTTGCCTCCCAGGTGCCAGGGTCCATGATGTCTCGGATCGTGTTTTCGGGATCCTTAAGGGGGAGGGGGAGCAGCCCCAAGTCGTGGTCCACATAGGCACCAACGACATAGGTAGGAAAAGGGATGGGGACATAAGGCAGAAATTCAAGGAGCTAGGGTGGAAGCTTAGAGCTAGAGTTGTTATCTCTGGTTTGTTACCCGTGCCATGTGCTAGCGAGGCGAGGAATAGGGAGAGAGAGCAGTTGAACACGTGGCTACAGGGATGGTGCAGGAGGGAGGGATTCAGATACCTGGATAATTGGGGCTCATTCTGGGGTAGGTGGGACCTCTACAAACGGGATGGTCTACACCTGAACCAGAGGGGTACCAATATCCTGGGGGGGAAATTTGCTAAGGCTCTTCGGGAGGGTTTAAACTAATTCAACAGGGGGGTGGGAACCTGAATTGTAGCTCCAGTGTACAGGAGGTTGAGAGTAGTGAGGTCATAAATAAGGTTTCAAGGTCGCAGGAGTGTACCGGCAGGCAGGAAGGTGGTTTGAAGTGTGTCTACTTCAATGCCAGGAGCATCCGGAATAAGGTGGGTGAACTTGCAGCATGGGTTGGTACCTGGGACTTCGATGTTGTGGCCATTTCGGAGACATGGATGGAGCAGGGACAGGAATGGTTGTTGCAGGTTCCGGGGTTTAGATGTTTCAGTAAGATCAGGGAAGGTGGTAAAAGAGGGGGAGGTGTGGCATTGTTAGTCAAGGACAGTATTACGGTGGCAGAAAGGACGTTTGATGACAACTCGTCTACTGAAGTAGTATGGGCTGATGTTAGAACCAGCAAAGGAGAGGTCACCCTATTGGGAGTTTTCTATAGGCCTCCGAAAAGTTCCAGAGATGTAGAGGAAAAGATTGCAAAGATGATTCTGGATAGGAGCGAAAGTAAAAGGGTAGTTGTTATGGGGGACTTTAACTTTCCAAATATTGACTGGAAACGCTATAGTTCGAGTACTTCAGATGGGTCAGTTTTTGTCCAATGTGTGCAGGAGGGTTTCCTGACACAGTATGTAGATAGGCCAACAAGAGGCGAGGCCACATTGGATTTGGTACTGGGTAATGAACCAGGCCAGGTGTTA